GTTGTATCTAAGAAATGATAACAGATAACTTTCTAGAATTCTCCGATGTTTTTTATCACACAATTGTACACTACTTTGAGCAATAAGAATGTATAATTACTCTCCAAGATTAACAGAAGAATCGTGATGAAATCGATCATTAATGAAAATGACATGTTCATCAGTAATTTAATCATAGCTTAGGATCAGAAGCTCATGATATTCAAATCTATATTTGTTATACAAGGAACATTTTGTACTTATTTAAGATGATCTTCGCCCTCTCTAACCATTTAACTTCTGTCCTGGAATAAAAAGATGCCTCAGAATTTTCACATAAGATTTCATTTTCAAGGATTTGTTCACTGTTCTTTGGATTGTCATAGCTGAAACTCCTTTATCACATGCCAAACGTCTTATGAATTGACTTGGATCTTTTCTAATTGGTCTCTTTAGCTCTGTTGAAATGAGTATCCCTCTTTTTATTATGACCTTCTACTCCAGTTTTCTTCTTAAATGTTTCCTCTTTTGTAAAATTATTCACCAATTCATTTCATGGCTTTAGGATAGACTTTGAAAATGGAAGCCAGAGTATGAATATTGAAACCATTACTGAAGGTCTGAGTGTTTTTCGGTGATTATTACGACAAATGGTGTCAAGATGGTTAAATGTCTTATCTGAAGACCTGGAAATAAGAAACACAATCAGTTTAGTGGTCTGTTAGATATTAAACATTTTGTGGAATAGATAATTAAGCTGTTACATGATTGAGACAACTTTGCTCTTACGCCCGACACAAACATACACACACATATACAGATTCACACACACACACACACACACACACACACACACACACACACGCATACATATATATATATATATATATATATATATATATATATATATATATATATATATATATATAGGAAATGTATGACATAGTGGAAAAGTTTACTTGTGACACTTTTCGACCTTCAGGATTTAATGGGACTAAATTTGTTATGTTAGTAGAAACCTGACGTGCTCACGGACTGGGGGTGCTTATGATTTTAGAATTTTTTTTTTTTTTTAGCCGAATTCATCTTTAGAGTTTTTTTTTTATTTTATTTCCCTCACTATTCTAAGTAGATGTCCAATACTGGGATAGTAGGAGAACTGCGTGAAGTGATGAAATTTATTGTAGATAACCATGTGTTCAAAGCATACTCTAGATATTTACGCCTAAGGAAATTGTTTCTGCTCTTATGGGAGTAGCATTTTTTAGATCAAAATTGGGATAAGTATCGTTACGGTGGGCAACCAAGGCATATGACGTATTGTTTTGTAACATTTCCCTTTTTTCATATAATATTTTATTTACATTTATTACAGGCGATGCAGGAAATTCTTCGTTATGGTTTTAGATTATTGTTTTGCTTAGTATGGGATTCTAGATAATAAATTGTAACATATTCTAAAATTCTAAGCACCCCTCGTTCACCAACTTAACAAGATTAGTCTGATGACATCCTGAAGGACGAAACGCGGCACAAGTAAACTTTTTCCATTTTGTAATATATTTCCCTCAATATTGTTCTTGATATATAAAGATATATGTCGTTATCTCATATACATACATATATATATATATATATATATATATATATATATATATATATATATATATATATATATATATAGATAGATAGATAGATAGATAGATAATTCTTCATTGGATTGAGAATATTTTAGCATCTTTATATATATATATATATATATATATATATATATATATATATATATATATATGAGTAAAGAAAACATAAATTAATTATGTCTTTCCATTACCTGATTTTCTCCATAATCGCATGCATAAGTGTAATGAAAAAGTCACCGTCCAATGCTGAGCCTCATTTATCTTTCAATGAGTCCACCATATATATATATATATATATATATATATATATATATATATATATATAATTAATATGAGTAAGGCTTTCACTGAACTGATTGTTGTTAGTTTCAGCATTCCAAATCCAGTGTTTCGCAGGTGGACCTGTCCATACACTCTTCAGATGGTATCAGCAATTTACTGCTTATATTGTTTAGATTTTTACATTTTCATACATTTGTGTAAATTTTATATATATATATATATATATATATATATATATATATATATATATATATGTACACTATTTTCATTTATAAATACATACTCTATGTCCCTGATAGATTTGCCAATGAGGAAAATAAGGAGTTGTTTTTTAATCCACTGTTCACTCTGACATTGCCTCACAAAACTAATTTTACCCATAACATTCATATATTTTTAATTAAAAGTATATGTTCGCCAATACAAATGTTTACCGAAAAAAAAGGAAATTACCTATGAATTTACTTAGTATCATTGCTATCAAGTGTTATTTTAGGGGATATATATATATATATATTTATTGTAGAGGTTGTTATTTGGTCAGTATCCCGTCGACTGTCTAAACTTTCATAATTTCGACCGCAATTCTTGGGTCTTTATTCTGGATCATAGCTTTGATGATTAGAAAGTACTTTGATATTTTGCCTAAAACCCTGCGCAAATCTCACCAGGCGATCGCGCCGAGTTCCTCTGATTGCATTTGTTCCACATTTTAGCTCATAATGCTTATTGAATGCCTTCTTCAATAAGAAGTGTATTCACTAGATTCCTGTCCAAGTTTGGAGTATTGGCACTAGAGTTTATTCATGGCTTCATTGAATCATCCACAAATACGCCCGTATGATTTTAAGTCTAACCTTTGACCCCACTTCCTATGAAAATTGTAAAAAGCCGCTCAACCGGTTCTGGAAATATACAAATATCATTGCACTTTCTGGGAAATTACGCAGACACGTATCATGAAACAATCAACGGTCGGAGTTTTCCAGGGCAAGAAAGCAATGAGAAGCCCAATCCACTCTTGACTGGTTGCCGGTCTGTCCTGCTATTTACCCATAGCTGGGGTGGAGTGACTAAACGACCCTTCTAGGGTTTTGAATTCAGAGTTGTCATTCTCCTAGACTGGTTGCCACCCAAGACTATAGGAACCAGTCTGCTCGGCTCTTTACACATAACTTGGAAAAGAATAGATGGATGCATGTCTTTCCCAAGGGCAATAGTACGCAAGTGAATGCAATGAACTCGACTGATATTCGAATATGATACGCGTGATTAAACAATACAGCTGGACTGGGAAAATACGAAGGAAATTTCATTTTTAAATCCGAGCCGCTATTCATAAATCTAACCTGCCTCCATGGAGAGAGAACTGCTTAAATAATATTTATATATAATTTTAGCTTTATATAACTCTAAACGATACTTCAAATATAAAGTTTATGTCAACTCGTATTTGATTAGATTAAATCAAAAAGGATGCATACATTTAGGTCAGATGTTTTGTTTATTGTTGCATGGCTTGTCCTCTCTAGGTTTTCGGGGTCTAACGCTAGTTCGTCAGGCTTTAGACCTGCATCACATACTGAATAATTGACAAAAAATATTCTTAAGCTTCTTTTACTCGTTTTACTTCAAGGGATTCTATAATAGTGGTGGAAGCGAGAGGTTGTGCGAGATAAAGAAGACGGGCGTCAACAGGTCGGTCTGAAACTTGCGATCAACACGTGGTGGGATTTTCAATTCTCCTGAAGCTAAGGCACGCCAATTGATTTGAAAACCGAGAGGCATCTTCACTTTTCTCTTGTGGCCAACGTACCGAGTGTCTTTGCGCGTTTCTTTTTTTAGTTTTATACTCAAACTAAAACAAAGACAATTCATCATTGTCAGAATAGAACGCCAACCGGATTCAAGGCACACCATATCAGTACCGTAGGATCCGTCATTTTAGCCTGAGCGTAAGCATTATCCATATCCGTCACAACTGAAGATGTTTTTATTAATCATGAGTACTAATTACATAAATAAATAAATTTAAAAGAAATATTTAAATGTTCCTTAGTAGTATATGTGTATTAGGTTTATACGAAAGCAATGGTTTTTCCACAGAGTGTAGAGCGGATTACAACGGTGTATTTCTTAGAAATAATATTTACTGCTACAAATAATATTGGTTATTGCTTTGAAAACAGCGTTTTCTTTGTTTATCGTGGCTACTTATGCTAGTCAAGTTGGTTTTACCTTTCGGAGAAGAAAAGATGTAGATAGATAATTAGAACGACATCAATGATAAAAAAAAGTCTGAAAAGAGAAGTGATAAAAACTAGAGAATCTAAAACGGAGAAGGAACCTGACGCTGTAGAGAAGTGAGAAAGGAAAACTTTATTCGTTAATCTTTTTCTGTTTTTTATTGCCATTTCTACTGTCATGTAAATCATTAAGTTTTTAAGAAAACAAAATTAGTTACAAAGAAAATAAGCGTGTATATTGAAAATAAAAAAGAAGATACATTTAAGAAAAACGAAAAAGAAACACACTAAAGAATTAAACAAAATGAATGAAAGAAAGAACGAAAGAAGAAGATAATATAGGAAGAAAATATTGAAGAAAAATTAAGATGGTAGTTGTAAATTAAGAAATAAATAAAAATATACAGAAGAATATCCAGGAATTAAAGAAAGAAAAATGAAAGAAAGAAAATGAATGAGTAAATAAAAAATGCAAAAATACCGTAATCCCCCATGAATAATACGCCTTCATCCATAATACGCACACCTAAAACCGTGCTGAAGGTGTGGGAAAATGTATCTACTCATGCATAATACGCACCCTTTTTTGGTAATCTAACTCTATAAATTGTACCTGTCAAATTTTATTACGGCCAGCGTTGCCTAATCTTAATTTTAAAAAAATGGTTTTAGATATGGAATAATATTATTCTAATTTTACGACAGTTTTTTTAAAATATTTTTTGTAGCTGTGCATAATACGCATCTCTGATTTTACTTATTACTTTTTAGAAGAAATGCTTATTATACACGGGGAATTACAGGAATAAAAAGAGCCGAATGTTGACGAGAACGGAAACTAAGGTGCCTGAGATTAAGAAAGAAAAAATAAGAATAAATGTGGCAAATAAGAAAGAAAGACAGAAAGAAATACAGAAATAAATAAAAAAGAAATAAATAAAAAAGGAAAGTTTATTGAAGGAAAATGAAAAATATTAGAGAAAAGAAAACAAAAATGAGCGGTCAAACGAAAGAAAGAAAGAAAGAAAGAAAGAAAGAAAGAAAGAAAGAAAGAAAGAAAGAATGAATGAATGAATGAATGAAAGCGAGAGAGATATAAGAAAGAAATGAAACACAAATTTGATTGGAGACTAAAGAGAGAAAATGTACGTGTGAAGCAAAAAGAAAAAAGATGTCAAAAAATATATCAAAGAGGGTGGAATGTAAGAAAAGAAAGAGAAATGAAAGAAACAAAATGGTAAATAAAAATACATTATTAAGCAAGGAAAGATGATTCCAGATGGAATGGCTGTAAAACTTAAGGAAAAAAAAACTGATAAAAAGCAACACAATAATAAGCAAAAAAAAAAAAAATCAAATGACAATAACATGGAGTAAATTAATAAAGGTAAAAACAACGATTTTCCTTCAGTTGAAATGAGAAGCAATGATAAGAAAAAAAAAACATTCGACGTATCGTCTACAATCAGGTTCGTTGTCGATCCTAAATTATAAACAGAAATTATAAATATTTTTGGAGGAAGATCTCAAATCTAGACAAATCAGGCTACAACATGTCTTCTTTTGTTTTCTAAAAAAATAGTCACTGGAAATGGTTGTCTGTGGAAGTGGCAGATGTCTTCCCATTTATTTCTTCTGAAAAATAATGAGGAAGATTTTACAAATTTATTCGCATTTTTCTGCTTCTCCTCAGAAGATAAAGATTGTTGGTATCTGCAAACCAGTGTAACTACAGTGTTGGCTAGTTTTTTTTTTTTATTCATTCTTCACAAAAATTTAAAATAATTTTTATGTGTTAAAACAAACTATAATTTGTTTTATAACTGACAAGCAAACTGGAAATATTTGTAATATATCGATATGCAATATAGATCGATTTACAATACATTTGCTTCTTCTTCTTCTTCTTCTTCTTCTTCTTCTTCTTCTTCTTCTTCTTCTTCTTCTTCTATACATATATATATATATATATATATATATATATATATATATATATATATATAGTCATCCACAGATAGATTCTTTCGCTGTATCACAGCTCATCAGTGATTAGACATCGCATTGTTTCATATATATTGAGGTTGCGTTTGGAAGAATCAGTCCGCCGCCTCTGGGTGTTGACTTCGATGTCCACTTTTACATATAGAAATACTTATATCCCTGATATTGAACACTTTATCACATAAGTACCAAAACAATTACAAAAGTCCATATAAACATATGTCCGCCAATCCTTCCTTTTTGAGTTAGTAAGTTTAAAGAAATTTTACGTTATATGGCGCTGTGTTGCCAGGCAGATAAGGTTAAATTTGTCATTCGTCTACATTTGCTGGAAGTCTGTTTTCATGGTTTAAAGTTGGTAGTAGCGAGTTATCTGAGAAGTGTTCCGTTTAACAATAGCAGGATACTTATATCGTGAGCAGGCAGATATGATTTTACATAGGCTGCGCGAATGGTAATGGACGCGAGGTTACACGGCTGAATCAGATTGCGTTTCCAGACCGAAGGCAGCCGAATCATCCAATCTTTGCGTTGCTGATACGGGATCCGTGGCACCGCAAACTATGGAAATGAGTGTTTTTGAATTGTATCTTTAACAGCGTCTACCGCAATCTTTAACTTTACACAAAAACGAAGCATTTGCGGACATAGGTTTATGTGGACTTTTCGCCCCCAAAGTTTATAAAAGTTTTTTTTATATACCCTGTATGTATGTATGAATATACACACACACACATGCACACACACAGACACACAGACACACAGACACACACACACACACACACACATATATATATATATATAAGTATTGAAGTTAACACTCAAAGGCGACAAGCTGTTTCATGATAGACGCAATTCCCAGACTAAAACAAACACTTAAATAAACGATCTAAACAATTCTCTTTTTTTTACTATGTTAATAAAACATTGAAAAGAATAAATAAATATAAAAAGTAAGAAATAACAATAAATAAAAAACAAAATAAATTAACCCAAATAAATAAATAAATAAACAAACCATTCCTGCCAAAATAACTGTCAGAATGGACAACCCACAATACACCACTGGTCCGTATATATAAACAGTCGAGAAAGAAACAACACACGTGGCCTGATGATTGCGTCTAGCATGAAACAGCATATCGCCTCTGAGTATTGAGTTCAAAGTTCAATGTTCACTTTTATATTTACAAACGCTCTATCTCTGATATTGATCACTTTATCGCATAAATATAGTACACCTTAAAACTATATTTCTTCCTAAACATGCATACATATATATATATATATATATATATATATATATATATATATATATATATATATATATATATATATATATATATATATATATATATTATATACTAATCTTCAATCTTAGATAATTTTCGAATTGAAGAACCAATTGAAATGATGAATGTATCATCCTAAATAACCCTTGCTTAAAATGTATCATAACAGGTGATGGAAAACAGGTTATAATCGAAAATATTCAACTTAAAAGACAAGATTTACAACGTTAAATATCCATATGAAAGAATTGAAAGGGGGGGGTATGTGATCGTTATTGTATAATTAGTTTACACATTTAAAACGGAATGAAAAATTAAATGCACATTTATACATCAAGCAGCTTCAAAGTGGCTAGAAGATTTTGATCGAAAAGTGGGCTGCGCTCCATAATAGGTGAAATTTCGTTTTCTTCCATGACAGCCGCAAACAGGAATAAGACCAGGGAAAATACTGAAAATCGTCTGCTCTGTTTTACAACTTTCTCTATATCACCTTCATTTTGCACCAACTTATTATTAGCATTTCGATCGCTGCAAAACACTTTGATGGTAAAGAATTCATATGATGAAAGCCAAATTCAAGAGTTCGGAGATTTTTCACATAAAATCTCGTGGAATTTTAACCGAAACACAACAAAGCGTCACCTAATAAGTGTCAATATGTCTATGTAAATTATGGTGAATATATAATTGAATACAACCTTATCGTAGATTATCTTTTGAAGAATAAAGTTGATAAACAAAAGACAATTATGTCACAATCCAATAGAAAGTGCAATAATCGTTTACTTGAGAATTGTAATTATAAAAATAAAAGATACTAAAAATTTAATCAGACGGTAACATTTCGTAGTCGTTCAATGAATGACGTATTTTTTCTGTTAAGAAATAGCCATTTTTTACGATTACCATTCTCCTTTTGTTCACACGTTCTCTGTCAAATATTACTTTTGCTACGGGATCAAAATTGATATTATGTTAATAGTTTGGAAAGACGATATACTGACCACTGCTTTATGACAATTCATCTTCTTACGAGAGAAACGCTTTTTCTCTCTTTCTTTTTTTTAATCAATCTCACCCCATGCAAGGCCATAAAGCTACTAAGTCACAAGAGGATATTGGATGTAGAAAAATTAGGAACAGACACATTAATAATGAACGGAAAGAAAAAAGAGTAATAAAGAGAACAGTAGACTGCGATTGACATTGCATTTAAATTTTTGCTAATTAAAATTAGTTGGAAAGCATAGAAGCAGAAGGGAGTTTTACAAGTGAAAAGTACAAGATAAGAAACTTAATATAGAATTTACATCTAGCCAAGTCAACTGTAAATTAAAATCTTAGTGCTAGTCTAGTACTGCGCTTAAATTAAAAATTCTCAGTTCAAGTTGCATAAACTAAAAACACTAGCAATGACCCGCAAAACACATACGCAGTATTGCAAACCATTCGGTACTCACTATTTGCATCAGAAATATTCCACCGAGCAACATCCGTTAGTTCCACTAGTTCAGGCCTTCACATCTAACGGACACCGGGACAAATCATTCCCATTCTAATCTTATTCAGTTAGTAAGAAGGAATTGCCATTTGAAAAGATAATTCGCAAGAGCTACGGCGTTTTATGGCCATATCACGTTGAAACACATGTTCCATTACGATTAACGAAGCTAAATTCGTCGAAGCTGGACATTACATTATAAGCCATGTGCTGTAAGCTCGGATGTGCATGTCCTATAATGGATAACTGCGCAAAATGGGAATCATATAGCCGAATTCCAATTTCGGTCTAGTTCGTTGCATTCACTTCCTCACAGGCACCCTTGAGAAAGTTAAGAATCTATCCCGTCTCTTCCCGCTTGTATCTTTAAAAAATTATTATTGCCTTAAAATTCTTAAAAGCTGCAAATATTTGCTTGATTTAAATAACCAGAAAATGGTTGATAAACCGTAAAAAAGAAAAAAAAACAACAACTCAATCCATCTCAGGAAGCACTATATTTTTTAAAAGAGACTCCCAAGAAAGTGCTTTCCCGATCCTTACAGCCTTAACGACTTTAAGTTAAAGTTTAACGGTTATCTTTCCTCCCTATCCCGCACTTCATATCTCATCTTTCAGTAAATCTCTTCCTGTAAACCTCTACATTGCGCGCCTCTTGATCATTGTATCGGGTGAACTATTAGTAAAATAAAATCACTTAGCGTTGCTTACTCCGTGGCGTGGATCGCTGGTCAAAATTATGAATACCTGAAACAAGTCTAGACTTGACGTAATTACATAGCAATGTTGTAAAGACAAAGTAAATAGCGAAAAAATAAATCACGAAAAGTTAGTGACTCAACAACAAGTAAGTGTATATATATAAGAGTTTTCTATTCGAAATCATTTCCGATTGGTTTACCTGAGTGACAAAAGGTGACTCACAAATTCTGATCGTTAACAATGGGTCCGTTCTACCTGTCTGAGCAAAGGTACCGCCCACTTGCATAATTGAGTTAGAATGATGGCAGAAACTATTAATAGACACACAGGATGTGCAGGGCATTCATGCGTGCTACTAATTACTGTATTGGCTGCATGATCAGCTGGGTCACACTTGACTGAACCTGAAGAATGATTTCGCCGAAGCAGTCAGGCTGAGAATAAAAGAGAACAGATGTAAAGATTGATAATCGATCACTTTATAGATATGCCTCCGCCTGCTTTTGGTGATCCGTGAGCTTAGTCAGCTAAAAAGAAGGTAAAGAAAGAAACAAACAAACAAAGAAATAAGAGAGAGAGAGAGAGAGAGAGACATGTAAAGGGAAGAGTGGTAAGTTTGATTAAACATAGAAGATATACAAAAAAGGAAAATAGTGCGAGATAAAGAAAGGATGAAAAGAAAGAGTGGGGAAGTTTGAAAAATGATGAGAAATAGAAATACGAAAATCGGTAAGAATTAAATAATAATTGACAATGGCACGACAAAATTGAAACAAAATTGACAGAGAAAATGAAATAAGGATGTTTGTGAAATAAAGAAGGAAATAAGGAATGAGTGAACATAAATAACAGACCAAGTAATAAAGTTAAATTGGTCAGGAATAAAGAAATGAAAAATTGAATAATTAAAGAAAGAAAAAAAATGTAATGAAAGAAAGCTTAAAAATTAATAGGAGATAAATAACTAATGAACATGCCAGGAAATAAATGGACGACTGAATGAATGAATAAGGATTAAAAACATAAGGGGAGATGAAAAATAATGAAACGTTATGAAACACATGTATAATGAATAAGAAAGAAAGAAAGAAAGAAAGAAAGAAAGAAAGAAAGAAAAAGAAAGGAAGGAAATAAAGAAAGAAGAGGAAAGATGGAAGGAAGGAAAAGGGAAGAAAGAAAGAAAAATAAAGACAAAGTAAGGAAGGATGAAAGAAAGAAAGAAAAATGAAAAAGAAAGACAGAAAAAAGAAAGAAAGAAAGAAAGTAGGAAATAAGAAATTAAGAATGAATGAAAGACAAGAAGTAATGAACGATGAAAGAAAGAAAGAAAAAAGAAAGAAAACAACGAAAGACAGGAAGTTAGGAAGGATGAAAGAAAGAAAGGAAATAAGAAAGGATGAAAAAGAAAGAAACAAAAAATGGATGAAAGGAAAGAAGGAAATAAGGAAGGAGAAAGAAAGAAAGAAAGGAAATAAAGAATGAAAGAAGAGGAAGGATGGAAGGAAGGAAAAAGGAAGAAAGAAAGAAAAATAAAGACAGAAAGTAAGGAAGGTTGAAAGAAAGAAACGAAAGAAAAAAAGAAAATAAAGAAAGAAACTAGGAAAGAAGAAATGAAGAAAGAATTAAAGACGGGAAGTAATGAACGAAGAAAGAAAGAAAGAAAGAAAGAAAGAAAGAAAGAAAGAAAACAACGAAAGACAGGAAGTTAGGAAGGATGAAAGAAAGAAAGGAAATAAGAAAGGGTGAAAGAAAGAAAGAAAGAAAGAATGAATGAAAGGAAAGAAGGAAAGAATGAAGGAAGGAGAAAGGAACAAAGAAAGAAACTAAGAAAGAAAGAAAAAAAGAAGCAAACAAACAAACAAACGAAAAAATGAAAGATCGATTGAAACACTATACGGCGAAAAAGACGGTTACAAATAAAGAGGACAAAAGAAACAGAGAAAATAATAATAAATAAAGAACGACAGAAATAAGAGGAATAAAAATAAAACGTGATTGAAGAAATAATGAGAGATACATCAATGATAATCAACGGGAACCTAATTTTTTAAAAAAATAAATAAAAATATGATAGAAATGAGACGAAATGAAAGAAAAGAGAAATAGAAAGCCATTAGAAAAATGAAGTAAAGAAGGAATCGTCCGAAAAATGAAAGAAATGAATAAAATAAAAGAAAGTAGAAATACAAAAGACTACACGAATGATAAGAAAGAAAGAAAAGAAAATAATAAAAATAAAAATATTTCAAAAACGGAACATGCGAAAATAATGAACTTTAGGAAAAGTCAATCATTCATTCTTTTTATTTACGGTTATTTTTTCAATCATTCTTCAGTCACTTTTCAATTAGTCAGTCCTTCTGAATCATCCAATTTTGTTGGCTGCTGATATTTTAAGCAAAGCTCAGCATATAAATTCTTATCTATCTGCCATAAAGTGATAACTGCCAAATTACTTGCAGTGAATTAGGAAATAAGTTCATAGTCAGCACCCCCGTAATTTAACCACGCCCAGATAAAATTCAGAATAATAAATATCTGACTGTTTTGCTAAAGTGATCGTTAACAAGTTTATCTTGACATTTAGTGCTGATGAGTGAATCTTATCCTCAGTGGTTGTTAGTCTTTTTCGAAATTTATAAAGAACAATAAAAGGATTCGCCTAATATTTATTTGTTCATCACTAATTGTATAAAGCATAGACTAACAGTGACACAACAATCAAATTTTCTGTTATTACAGATGGAAACAAGGCAAACATGATTTAGTATATTAAGTTTTGAATAAATCTGAAAGCGATAATGATTTTAGCAAGTAGATTGCCTGCAGTGCAAACATATTTCCAAATTGAACAATTACTTTGTTTATGTAAGGTGCACGAAATTAAATTTCAAAATTTTTAAAATCGTATAATTCCATTTTGTCTTATTGAACCCAAAACACCGACTCAAACTTTCCTCAAAAGCTAAGGAAAAAATATTCCTATAATATGGTTTGATAGTAATTAAAATCTAATAATTTATATCCTTAGAAATTTGTTTTTAAACCCCCATTTCTGTTGTTGGTTTGAGCTGATGATAGTTGAATGCCAGAAAATACCATACAACAGCAGTGTGTTCTTTGCAAAACAGTTGACATTTCTGACTGTTGTAAGAAATCAGGAAACAAATTACACATTTTTTAAAATCTTAACTTAAACATACACATGACCGTAAAGATGGCGACCCAGTAATAATTAATTACGTACATATATTTTAGTCCCCAAGATTCATTTACAAAAGATCACTGTAACATTAAGATAAGACTGTAAGAAATCTATAACAGTTTTAGAATGAACCCACCCACTAGCTATAGTCTATGAGATTATCTAATGCATTGTAGGTATCTTCGGGAGAATTAATGGCTAAGGAGTAAAACGTGCATAAATGCGAATTAGAGATTAAATCAAATAACTACGCTCTCTAAGTGTATGACGCTTATAGAGCTTAATTATTTACTTTCCGGCAGCGTTTATATATGCGTTTGAACCAAACCCTATAGATATACCCTGTTATTTATATACCCTGAGAAGAGGAACTTGCAATATCGACAACCCAAGATCTCCTTATCCCTATCCATAATTGTAGAGATGTGAACTAGACTATCCGTTTTTTAAAGGTGGCTTGAAGCCAAGGGAAGGCCATGCAACGATCTGTGAGATACCGTGCTATCACACAACGAGAGGCGTCGTACGCGGATATTTGCCGTGCTTAGTAGAAACAATATTAAGTTGAAATCGATGATAATATGACGGTACATAGTTAAGAATAGTGACAAAGCATTTTATAGTCATTGAGAATATATGCTAATCATTACGTTGGAGTAAGCGCCATACACAATTACGTTTTTATATCTAAATCATGTCTGTTTATAATTTCTAAATTTATATGCGATATTCAGTATTTCATGAATATAAATTTTGCCCGAGACATCTTGAATGTGGTCTTTACCACTCAAAAGCATCTTTTCCAAAAACCTAGAATAAATATATGTACTTAGCCATCATGAATAGAGAATAGACATGTCATTTTATCTTCAAAGGTTTTCTTGCTTGTCGATCCGATTTTAAACAAAGAAAAGCCTACTGAATTATTTAGCAATATCACTGCTCCGATTTGGCAATGCATCCTGGACAATCTCCTGAGAGCTGAAGAAAGGTGGTTCTAAAGAAATATATTTAGAATACCATACACCGAAACAAGGACGAAGTTTAGAAAAAAAAACACGAAAAGATAACTTATATTTAATATCATGAAGAGACAGTTGAAATTTCTGGTGCACACAATGAGGATGGAGGTCTTGGAAAATGTGTAACTCACAGGACAGATTAAAAGCAAGAGGGAAAGAGAAAAACACCGCATAAGCTATCTTGTTAGCATGAGGAAATTCAGTGTGGAATAAGTTTTGAGATAGATAACAGAAAGATAAAAAAATATTAATATTGAAAATTGTGGAATGCGATGATCACAAATGTACAAAAAGGACATAGCACATAGCAAAAGAACTTTTTAATTATTCTCAAGCTTCATTTATGACATTGTTACATATATTAATTTTTTGTTTTCTCTTGACAATGTTTCCAGTTTTGTTTTTACTGTTTTGTGATGGAACAAGAGTATTATATAAATGTATTTACAATATAAAAAACACACTTCATTAGATTATTTTAAACGTCAATACTAAAACTTTATAATAAGGACAGAATTTTAAGTGATAAACTGGAATATTTTAAAATCATCTGGTTTGCTTCGGTTTGGTATGGTTTGTTTTAAACCTTATCAAGTGCAATGGTTTTTTTAATGCCGACACGAAGTTTGTGGCTGCTAATATTTTTTCTTCAAAAATATATTTTTGGTAAGATATTTTTTTCTTCAAAACTGTATTGCTGGTAAGGTTGTTTTTAAAAATGTATTGCTGGCATCTATTTTTTCTTCAAAAATATATTGCTGGTAAATTTTTTTCAAAAATATATTGCCGGTAATATTTATTCAAAAATGTATTGCTGGTAATCTTTTTTTCAAAAATGTACTACTGGTAAAATATTTTTTTCCAAAACGTGTTGCTGGTAATATTTTTTCAAAAATATATTGCTGGTAATATTTTTTTCAAAAATGTATAGCTGGTAATATTTTTTCAAAAATATATTGCTGGTAATATTTTTTTCAAAAATGTATTGCTGGTAATATTTTTTTTCCAAAAATGTATTGCTGGTAATCTTTTTTTCAAAAATGTATTGCTGGTAAAATATTTTTTCCAAAATGTGTTGCTGGTAATATTTTTTCAAAAATGTATTGCTGTTAATATTTTTTCAAAAATATATTGCTGGTAATACTTTTTCAAAAATGTATTGCTGGTAATATTTTTTTTCAAAAATGTATTGCTGGTAATATTTTTTCAAAACTGCATTGATGGTAATATTTTTAAAAAAATGTATTGCTGGTAATATTTTTTAAAATGTATCGCTGGTAATAATTTTCAAATATGTATTGCTGGTAATATTGTTTTTTCAAAAATGTACTGCTAGTAATATTTTTCATCAAAAATATATTGATGGTAAGATTGTTTCAAAAAAATGTTGCTGGTATTTTTTTTTCTTCAAAAATGTATTGCTGGTAATATTCTTTTCAAAAATATATTTCCGGTAATATTTTAAAAAAATGTATTATTGGTCATAATGCATTGTATGTATTAATGTTTTTTTTTTTTTCAAAAATTTATTGCTGGTAATAATTTTTTGCAAAAATGTACTGCTGATATTAAAATTTATTTTGCACTTTCATAGTGTTTTGACGCCAGTTTGTGGATTAACTATTTGTCCATAACAGGTTCTACCACCCCAAGTCAGGTTGGACTTGGGAACACCAGCAATGAAGAGGTGATTCCAGGCTCCTCTTAACCTCCAGGTAAGAGGTCTTCTTGTTGGATGTAGTTGATCATTATATCATCATCGTATGGTTAATACTAATTGAAAAATGGTCGATTGTCTGTACCGCTCTAGTAAGTAGTTTATTCCTCCTGATATCCGTAAACTTTACAACATCCAGATCAAGCCAAAAATGAACTACTGTTACCATATATGGACAGGCGCTGCCAGTCTCCACTTTCCAGTCTACGCGTCTTTGTCGTTGGCAAATTATTTCGTAACGTACAGCCCGTTTCACGCTGCCGAAAGGTCACAGGCCTCTTGCTGCTCTATCACTATTTCCATGGAAAGTGTTCAGAAGAACAATGTTAAATGAGGTGAGGTTGATAGTAGGAGAGATTTTTAATATAGAGCGCCTCACGAGATGTTTCCGGTAATGTGGTTTATACATACTGTGGCAATGAAAATTAAGGCAGACTTATGCCCCCTCTTACTCCTACAAAACGGAAAAACATAAGTATGTTGGAAAAATTAAATTTTGTTTGTCTGTCATGTTTAATGGAATGTTTAAAATAAAGGTTGCTGCCTAAATAAACATATATAGTTATCCATAGACAAAAAGTTTCGCGGTATCACAGTTCCTCAGTGTGGCTAAAAATTCGATTAATTCAAGCCGGGATCGAAACCCGGCCGAGTCAGAGATTCTACACGTAAGCTATCGACGTACGGCAGAGGATACGGAAAATTCTAATTATTTTACTATGTGAAAGACGTTCGATTCGAGTAGAAGAGCATTGCATTAGCAGCAGCAGTCACTGTTTATAAAATCACCCCTTCTTCTTCGAGAGCTCAATTATTATTAATTATTTCGAGAGCACACCCACACAGCCACATATATAAATATATATATATATATATATATATATATATATATATATATGTGTGTGTGTGTGTGTGTGTGTGTGTACATACATTTATAAACACCATAAAACTTAAATTGATATATCTATGTGTACGATTTATATATAAGAAAAATATCTATATAGAGAATACGTATATATTTTGACCCCCACACATATATATATATATATATATATATATATATATATTTACATAC